ATCTGTCAGAGTTTTGACCTAATGATAAGAAATGTATAAAATGTCCTTTTGAAATTTCTTTTAGTTTCAGTATTCTAGGATTATTTCTGTAAATGAATGTGCATGCACGTTCAGTCGTCTCTGACTCTTTGTGACCCCATGAACTGTAGCCTGCCAGGTTCCTCTGTTCAATGGATTTTCCAGGCAAGAATACTGGAGCAGTTTGCCATTCCTTCTCCAGGGGATCTTCCCGACCCAGGGATTGACCCCATGGACTGTAGCCTGCCAGGCTCCTCTGTCCATGGAATTCTCCAGGCAAGAATACTGGAGCGGGTTGGCATTCCTTTCTCCAGGAATCTTTTTGACCCAGGGATTGGACCTAGGTCTCCTGCATTGCAGGCAGATTCTTTACTGTCTGAACCCCCAGGGAAGCCCCAAAGAAGAAAAAATGACTGCAATGTGAGAATCTTGGTTGGATTAAAGTGAAGATCAGAGAAAAACAACAGCTATTTGTTCGAACAATGGAGACATTTTTTGGAACAACTGAGGAAATTCAAATAGAGACTGTATGTTAAATGACGGTATATGACTACTGTTAGTTGTCATTAAAAAAATTTATTTTGTTATATTTTATTTGACCACACCACACATCGTGCAGGAATCTCAGTTCCCTGACCAGGGATCAAACCTGTGCCCGCTCTTTTGGAAACAGAGAGTCCTAACCACTGGACCCCAGCAAGTCCCTAATTTTTTAAGTATGATCATTATACTGGGATTGGTTATAGAAAACATATCTTTATTCTTAAACAATTCTCCCTCTATCTCTCTTTCCTTCTGCATGTGTGTATACATACGAATAACAAAGAATTTAATCAACAAGTCAAAATACTTCAGATATATATTTGTATGAATATGTGCATAGATAAATAAATGAGGCATATGTGATAAAACATTAAAAAGTGATGAATAAAAAATTTTTAAAAATAGAAAGTGATGAATTTAGGTAAAGAAGATACATGTTCATTGTACTATTCTTTCAACTTTTCTGTAGCTTTGTTTTCAAAATAAAAATGTGGGGGATGCATGGAATCACTTCAAAACAGTGCAGTTAACAAACCCCAACATATAGTTAAGAACCTGTATAGTATTTGACATAAAAAGAGAAGTGAGCTTCTTTTTGTGTCATTATTTTCTTGTAGGCTCTCTTAGTCTCAATTTAATAATTGCCATTCAAGAAATATTTGTTTCCAGTAGAAAAATTTTGAAAGCTAACATATTAAAAAGCAGAGACATTACTTTGCCAACAAAGGTCCGTCTAGTCAAGGCTATGGTTTTTCCAGTAGTCATGTATGGATGTGAGAGTTGGACTATAAAGAAAGCTGAGCACTGAAGAATTGATGCTTTTGAACTGTGGTGCTGGAGAAGACTCTTGAGAGTCCCTTGGACTGCAAGAAGATCTAACCAGTCCATCCTAAAGGAAATCAGTCCTGAATATTCATTGGAATGATTGATGTTGAAGCTGAAACTCCAATACTTTGGCCACCTGATGTGAAGAGCTGACTCATTTGAAAAGACTCTGATGCTGGGAAAGATTGAAGGCAGGAGGAAAAGGGGATGACAGAGGATGAGATGGTTGGATGGCATCACTGACTCAATGGACATGAGTTTGAGTAAACTCCAGGAGTTGGTGATGGACAGGGAGGCCTGGCATGCTGCAGCCCGTGGGGTCTCAAAGAGTCGGACACGACTGAGTGACTGAACTGAACTGAAGAAATTAACTGCTATAGAAATTAAATACAAATATAAAAAAGTACTGTCATTTGGCAATATATATTTATGTAAAGTCATTATATATGCTAAGTCATTATGTGGGATATCTTAAATTTATACAGAGCTCTATGTCAATTATATCTCAATAAAACTGGGGGAAAATAAGTACCATAGAAATTAGAATGTAGAACCATTGTCTCATAACTCACAATTCTTTTTATTCCTGAGTTTGCAGAAATCTCATCTGTGTTTCCCAGTAGGATCATATCCAATAGTGAAAAGATGAATAAAGTTTTAGGGAGTAATTTCAAAAATGCTTTGAGTTCCTGTTCTGTAAGATGTTAGACTATAGACCAAAGCCTGTAATTTTCTTAACAACCTTAACAGTGCATAAAATTTATTTAAGCAGATTGTCCACTGAGTTGATTCCGTTAATCCAAACTGCCACAATTTTTATTTTTATGTTCTGATTTTGTGAAGTATAAATAACTGATGAAACTGTACCCAATTCAATGCACTTTGCCAATATTAGCCTTTTTATTACCTTGGTCTATCACAGTTCTCCCTATGTGCATTTGTACAGATCAGTTTTAACTTGCATATTTTACATCTGGATTAGGGAATTCTTTTGGAATGCTACAGACTTGTCTTGCTTTGTTGCTCCAACTCTTTGTTGTGAGTCTAGCAGAAAAAGGATTCAACTGGATCATAAAAGACTACACCCAGTAAATGCTTCAGAAACACAGGTTGGATGGAGTGATCTTGTTTTCTGCTCAGCAGTTGCCTGAATCACTAGGTGACTTGTTGGATCTTGAGAGCTTGCTTAAGTAGAACAGGCTTGAGACATGAATCAAAGCAAGTGTTTGCAGTGTGCCTATTTCACATCAGATTCAATACATGGTCCGTGGATTTTGTTTCTTGTAATATTCACATTACCAGATTTCTTCTGAAGCATTTATAATTGATACACTATTCAAATTCTTTTGTGTTCTTCTATAAGGTATGAAACAATTTGGCAGAGTCAGAGGCTGTTAAAATATTTCAGGAACATGCAACCCATTCTTGCAATGAGATACATAATATTTTACAATGGCATGGGAGTATTCCTCTGTGTTTTGTGGAAAGCAAGTTCAAAGCTCTGTGATTAATCACCAAGGAGAAACTTAATAATTATAGTATGATGTACTTTTTTTCTTGGCGAAATCAAGATTTGTGCCATGGATACATCTGTAGCCAATTATTTGTTATGCAATATGGCATAGATCAGATTTCAGGAGAAACAATAACAACTTTGCACAAGAAAAGGCTACTCCAGTACATAAGGTTTGGAAATTGCATGGAAACATTGCAGGGAACAGATTTATCAGTTGGGCACCATTTCCCTTCATGGGTCATTTTGACATTAGTGGATAAGAACATTTCAGGAAATCATTAAAGGAAAGAAAGAGAAAGGAAGGAAAGAATAACTCAGGAGTCACAGTCAACATATGTCCCCAAATGAAACGTACCTCCCCTTGATACATTTTATTCAATAGCATCTTTATCAAAAGATCTTATACACTATATATAGGAATGCCTAATTAAATGTTAACTGATTATTAATTGATTGGGATAAGAAGGTATGAGAAAGTAAAGGACAGTTAAATCCCAAATAAAATGTGTTGTCCGAACAGCCAAGATAAAAATGGAGCAAGATACCCTCAATCTGGAGCCACTTGGAACTGCTCACATTTCATTCTGAGTGTTTATGAGCAAGTAGAAAGGGCTGTTCAATGCCTTTTCATTCTTCCCTTCACTTTTGTGCTTTGTTCTCTGTGGAAGTAATTGGCTACTGAATTTCAGTATGCAGAAACATACTGAAGTGACTGAAATTTTGATCCAAGTGGGCTCACTTGGCAGGCCTCTGGAGGAAAGATTGTTTTATCTATCTGCTTAAAAATGGTTGTTGTCTGTTTAATCGTATCTTCTAAAGTGTCTTTTGAAAAGCTTTGGGCTGGAATTCTAAGAGAAGGCACTGCCAGTGGCTCAGGCCCCCTGGTCCTGTGGGGTTTTCCAAGTGTCACCCCTGAACCTTCTGCCTTGTTGTCTTGTGGAGTTAAGGGATGTGTTCTGTAAAAGATGTAAATGACCAAGGAGCTTCTTCCTCCTCTTCCGCCTTGTCCTCCATCTCCCATGTGACTTTGCAGAAGACCTTTTCCTGCATCCCCAACAACTCTCCTTAGCAGTACTATAACTGGCCTGAGATAATCCACTAAAACCTTGAATCGCTGGACATGTTTTAATTTATTATTATTATTATTTTAATAATCCCTACCACTTGTACTGACATCATGGATTCACAAAGACAATATTTCATGCATAAAAGTAATTCACCAACTTCCAGATTATCATTAGAACAATGTATCTTCTCATGTCTATATTACTTCATGGATACACAGACAATAGCTTCTTAAAACAACTTCCTTTTAAAAACAATTTGGCTGAATGGGAAGGAAATCCAAAAGAGAGGGGATGAATATATATGTATAGCTGATTCACTTTGCTGTACAGTAGAATCTAACACAACATTGTCAAGCAACTCTACTTCGATGAAAATGAAAACAATTAGCATTCCAGTTTTTCAATGTTATAAATCATATCGATTTAATATCAAGGTCAAATCCAATCTTGTATATGTTTCTGTAGAATATAGTTTTCATATCCATGATAATGTTTAATCCTTTCCCCAGGTTGTATCTGACAGCTCAAAATTTGTCAATTTATGGACTCAGATTGAATTACTTTTCTCTAATTGCATTACTTGTCACTTGTCCTTGATAAAGCTCCTGTGTAACTTTTCTGCCTACAAATGTGAACTTGAAATTTCCTCTCTTCCTTGATGTCTTAATTCTTCCTTAGTGAGTTTACTGTAGCCACAAATCTCAGAACTCATGTTATACAGGCTTCCCCAAATTAATTAAAACACTATTATAATTCTTAGCTAAAGAATTGAAGATGTAGATTATTTTCTATTACCTTTCTTTAAATGCTTTTCCCCAACAAGCTATTCTGTGAGGACTCCCACAACTTTAAGGCTTTAGAGCTGAAGGGATCCTTATAAGTCTAATCAAAAGCTTCTTATCAGAAGCCCCTGGAATTCAAACAAAATAGAAATTATCTCTATCTTTCCCACTTTGTCCATGCTCATTTACCATCTCAAAGAACTATCTTAAATTACTAAGGCCTGATTTCTCCTTTATCTTTGCTTCAAGATGCCTAATACCTCTTTTTCTGGTTCAGAAATTGGAGTTATCTCTGAGGATGTGACTCTGTGTGTGTGTGTGTTTGAAAGATGTAACAAGTTGGATAAGGTATTGGTATTTCTTTTTCTTTCTTTTTTTTTTTTTTTTTGCATATGGGATCTTGGTTCCCTGACCAGGGATTGAACCTGAGACCCATGCAGGAAAAGCTCAGAGTCTTAACCACTGTACCACCAGGGAAGTTTCAGCATTGGTATTTCTTAAGCAATCAGAAATTCATATTTTAAACACACACACACTGACAGGTCATGATCTTGCCACATGAGCCAGTTCCAAACTAAAAGACCAGGTGGACAAGTTCCTGTCCACATTTTTCTGCTTCTGGGAAGCCTGGGCTTAGTTCTCTTCCCTGGATCAGAGAGGAGCTGATAAAGCAAACTATAAGCACTTAGTGATTACCCTCCATGGCTAGACACTGTACTAACTGTTAGGGATACTCAGAGGCCTTGAATTCAAGGAGCTTGTGCTTTAGTAAAGGACACAGCAAGGAGACAATGATAATACATTAATATTATGATAATACATTATAATAGAATAAGAGCATATAAGGAGCTCAAGCCAGTCAATCCTAAAGGAAATCAACCCTGAATATTTGTTGGCAGGACTGATGCTGAAGCTGAAGCTCCAATACTTTGGCCACCTGATGCAAAGAGCCGACTTATTGAAAAAGACCCTGATGGTGGGAAAGATTGAGGGCAGGAGGAGAAGGGGGTGACAGAGGATGAGATGGTTGGATAGTATCACCGACTCAATGGACATGAGTTTGAGCAAACTCCTGGAGATAGTGAAGGATAGGGAAGCATGGTATGCTGCAGTCCACGGGGTCGCAAAGAGTCAGACATGACTTAGCAACTAAACAACAACAACGTCTTCTTTGGAAAAATGTCTATTCAAATCCTTTTTCCATTTTTAAATTGGGCTGTTGAGTTGTGAGAGTTCTTTATATATTCTGGATACCAGACCTTGATCAGATATATGATTTGCAGACCTTCCACCCCATGTATTGTGGGTTATCTGTGCTCTTTTGAGAGAACTCTTGCATGTGACCCTCTTTCTTCTCCATGTGTGTCTGTGCTTTTCTTTCTCCCAGCATTTTTTCCTTCCAGTTTCCTTGAGATATCATTGACATACAGCAATGTGTAAGTTTAAGGTGTCCCTCTGCTTGTTGACATAATTGACTGGTTGCAGCCAGCCTGCTAGAGGCCAGAAAATGAGCTGAGAAATTGTACAGACATAGAGTTGGATCTACTGGATTGAGCCAATGCTTGGGGGAAACTTTTATCTTATCTCTCAGCTCCCCAGTTTCTGAGCCAGTGTATGGACTTGGTGTTTAATTGTGTTGTTCAGTTACCAGCTGAAAGTCTCCTAAACAATGTGTGAGCTCAGTCTCCCAGTCACGTCCAACTCTGTGACCCCGTGAACTGTAGCCGCCAGGTTCCTCTGTCCATGGAATTTTCCAGACAGGATACTGGAGTGCATTGTCATTTCCTTCTCCAGGGCATCTTCCCAACCCAGTGATCAAACCCACATCTCTTGTGTCTTCTGCATTGGCAGGCAGCCAATTACCAATTACCACTAGCGCCACATGGGAAGCCCCCACATAAACAGTACAGGTACCAAATCCAGCCTCAGAGAGGGGAAGTCTTAAATGTTACCTTCTTGGCCAATCAAACCATAGAGTTTAAGAACTAACCTTCAGGAAATCCTCTGGCAGTCCAGTGGTTAGGACTCTGCACAACACTGCCAAAAAACAAATTCACACACAAACACTCATTCATTAAAATTACTTAAATTTTTTGCTTAGAATAGCAGGAAAACGATTCACATGGATTCCATACACTTTTCTTGACTCTGTTATTGATTAATTTTAAAATGAAAGATTACATTCATGATGCTCCTCTCCCTCAGTTACTATGAAAGGTTCAGACTATAAAAGGAGGACTAATGCCAAGCTTTGCACTCAGTGCAAAGTACTCAAGTAACAAATGACACACACTTCTTCATTACTGTTTGCTATATTATTACCTGGGGAGAAAGTCTGAATTAAGTCTGAACTATTGCCAAGTCAAGGGAGGATTCCCTCATTCAGCTCATTTCTCCTTGAATAATTTATTTGGCAAAGTTCTTTTTTACTGCAACAAGCCTAGACCAGAGCTTCTTATTGTGTCTTAGTGAATTTTAATTATACCCCTCCCTATCTTGACATCAACACTGTCTTATTTATGACTACATTTTGATCACTATTCATAATTCTTCAGACTCCAAAGCTTGAAACAATTTGTAGTTTCATTTTTTGTTTTCTTTGTCTTCTCAAACTACTTAGCTCAATGGATAAGCTAATGAGACTAATGTATCCAAAATCATGGGGCTTGGCTACTGATGCCCTCTCTCTGGCCACACACTGTCCCTCTGACACCCCCACCCCCAACCTTACCCTATATTGTTATTTGTAATAAGAGAAATAAATGTTGGTCTTCATTTCTGTCATGGTTCCTTAAAACTCTTGCAACTTCCTGAAGAATAAGAGTGATAAAGATGTCTTTTGTTATTTATAATAAGTCCCTTTACAACACACCTGAATTTGTGTTAGTAAGTGACTTCGGGGGCACTAGCAGTCCAATGGTAAAGATATTCATTCACTGCAGGGGGCATGGGTTCATTTTCCGGTCAGGGAACTAAGATTCCACATTACAAAAAAAAGAAAAAGGAAGTGACTTTTGGAAAGCCCTAAGGATGGGGCCTGGTTGCCAGGGGAGCCAATCAGAATTAAATCAAATTAGTAGATTAGAACTTTCAATCCAACCACCAACTTCTGGGAAGGGGAGAGGAGCTGGAGGTTAAATTAGTCACCAGTGATCAGAGATTTAATTCATTACAGCTATGCAATGAAGCTCCAGGGCTTCCCTAGTAGCTCAGATATAAAGAATCTGCCTGAAATGCAGGAGACCCAGGTTCCATCCCTGGGTTGGGAAGATTTCCCTGGAGAAGAGAATAGCAACCCACTCCAGTATTCTTGCCTGGAGAATTCCATGGACAGAGTAGCCTGGAGGGCTACAGTCCATAGGATCACAAGGAGTCAGACACCAGTAAGCAACTAACACATTCACTTTCAGTGAAGCTCCACAATGTTGTTCAGTTGCTCAGTGGTGTCCAACTCTTTGCAACCCCATGGACTGCAGCATGCATGCCAGGCTTCCCTATCCCTCACTATCTCCGGGAGTTTGCTCAAACTCATGTCCATTGAGTCAGTGATACTTTCCAACCGTCTCATCCTCTGTCGCCCCCTTCTCCTGCCCTCAGTCTTTCCCACCATCAGGGTCTTTTTCAGTAAGTCGGCTCTTCGCACCAGGTGGCCCAAGTATTGGAGCTTCAGCTTCAGCATCAGTCATTCCAACAAATAATCAGGGTTGATTTCCTTTAGGATTGACTGGCTTGATCTCCTTATATGCTCTTATTCTATTATAATGTATTATCATAATATTAACATATTATCATTGTCTCCTTGCTGTGTCCTTTACTAAAGCACAAGCTCCTTGAATTCAAGGGCCTCTGAGTATCCCTAAGAGCTAGTACAGTGTCTAGCCATGGAGGGTAATTTTGGAGCCCAAGAAAATAAAGTCTGTCACTGTTTTCATTGTTTTCCCACCTATTTGCAATGAAGTGATGGGACCGGATGCCATGATCTTAGTTTTGTGCATGTTGAGTTTCAAGCCAGCTTTTTCACTCTCCTCTTTCACCTACATCAAGAAGCTTTTGATTTTCTCTTCACTTTCTGCCATAAGAGTGGTGTCATCTGCATATCTGAGAGAACCTAATAAGAAAGGTTTGGAGAGTTTTCCGGTTGGAGTACATGGAGGTGCTGAGAGCTGGTTCAGAAGTCATCTTGGCTCCTTTCTCCAGACCTTTGCCATGGACTCTCTTCCATTTATAATAATCGAGTAAAGTACACTGTTTTCCTGAGTTCTGTGAGCCACTCTAGCAAATGAACTGAACTGAGGAGGGGAGTGTGGAAATTTCTGATTTATAGCTGGTCAGTCAGAAGCACAAGCGACAACCTGGACTTGCATTTGGCCTCTGAAGCAGGGAGGACAGGGACCATCTTCTGAGACTGAGCCCTCAGCCTGTGGGATCTGGTGCTGTCTCCAGGTAAGTAGTGTCAGAATGAACTTACAGGTCTCAACAACACCCACCTGGTGTTGCAGAATGGCTTGATGAGCAGAAAACCCACACATGCGGTATCAGGGTGAAGTGGTGTTGTAGTAGAATTCTGAGAACAGAGGAGACACAGGGGAGCTTTTAAGGAGTTTTTTTTAGCCTCCTTAAGCCCCATCTCTTTCCCTGGCATGCCAGCGGTTAAGACTCTGCCTTCCAAACAGGAGATGTGGATTCGATCCCTGTTGGGAGAACTAAGGTCCCACATGCCTTGAGATGTGGCCAATTTTATTTTTTAACGCACCTGTGCAGTCATCCAGCTGAAGTGCTGGGTGAGTTGAGGGGATAATATACAACTAACTGAATTCTTCAATCCAAAGACTTGCCTTTCATACAAAGGGTGGTTAACCTTTAATTTATTGAGGATGGCCACTAGCAGCTTTCTGAGGCTCAGTTTCTCCACTTATAAAAAGAGGATAATGATTAATATGAATAATTATGAAGACTATGCACCACCACACAATTGTAAGACACGAAATTATGTGTGCCCCAGGAGTACAACCATTTAAAGATGCCTGCAGTTGTAATAACCCAAGAATGAAAGGGAAAACAAAAAAGGAAAAGCAATTATTTTTTACAGAGGTGGGATTATGAATGAGCTTAATCTTTCCTCTAAAATTTCTCTGAACATTGTTTTATAAACAAATGTTTATTTATAAATGAACAGATGTTCAAAACCCCTCTAGACTTTAGCACTCCAACTTTCATGTCCAAATAAAATGGCTTAATTATACACCCCAATATTTTCCTATGATATTTTTAAACCCCCAGCTTAGATGAGGGGAAAGAAGATTTCATTCTCCTGTCCATTTCCATTTGGCCCCCTGCCTGGAGCTGAA